GAGGAAGACTCTGAGGAAGACTCTGAGGAAGACTCTGAGGAAGACTCTGAGGAAGACTCTGAGGAAGACTCTGAGGAAGACTCTGAGGAAGACTCTGAGGAAGACTCTGAGGAAGACTCTGAAGACTCTGAGGAAGACTCTGAGGAAGACTCTGAGGAAGACTCTGAGGAAGACTCTGAGGAAGACTCTGAGGAAGACTCTGAGGAAGACTCTGAGGAAGACTCTGAGGAAGACTCTGAGGAAGACTCTGAGGAAGACTCTGAGGAAGACTCTGAGGAAGACTCTGAGGAAGACTCTGAGGAAGACTCTGAGGAAGACTCTGAGGAAGACTCTGAGGAAGACTCTGAGGAAGACTCTGAGGAAGACTCTGAGGAAGACTCTGAGGAAGACTCTGAGGAAGACTCTGAGGAAGACTCTGAGGAAGACTCTGAGGAAGACTCTGAGGAAGATTCTGAGGAAGACTCTGAGGAAGACTCTGAGGAAGACTCTGAGGAAGACTCTGAGGAAGAAGGAAGACTCTCTGAGGAAGAAGAAGGAAGACTCTGAGGAAGACTATAAAGAAGACTCTGAGGAAGACTCTGAGGAAGACTCTGAGGAAGACTCTGAGGAAGACTCTGAGGAAGACTCTGAGGAAGACTCTGAGGAAGACTCTGAGGAAGACTATAAAGAAGACTCTGAGGAAGACTCTGAAGAAGACTCTGAGGAAGACTCTGAGGAAGACTCTGAGGAAGACTCTGAGAAGAAGACTCTGATGAGGAAGACTCTCTGAGAAGACTCTGAGGAAGACTCTGAGGAAGACTCTGAGGAAGACTCTGAGGAAGACTCTGAGGAAGACTCTGAGGAAGACTGAGGAAGACTCTGAGGAAGACTCTGAGGAAGACTCTGAAGACTCTGAGAAGACTCTGAGGAAGACTCTGAGGAAGACTCTGAGGAAGACTCTGAGGAAGACTCTGAGGAAGACTCTGAGGAAGACTCTAAGAGAAGACTCTGAGGAGGAAGACTCTGAGGAAGACTCTGAGGAAGACTTTGGGGAAGGAGGAAGACTCTGAGGAAGACTCTGAGACTCTGAAGACTCTGAGGAAGACTCTGAGGAAGACTCTGAGGAAGATTCTGAGGAAGACTCTAAAGAAGAATCTGAGGAAGACTCTGAGGAAGACTCTGAGGAAGATTCTGAGGAAGACTCTAAGGAAGAGCGCAGGGAGCAGAACAAACTGTCAGTAGGAAAACAAACTCTTCTGAAAAAAGAACCTAAGAACATAAATTGTCAGAAAACCAAATGAACTTCATCGGATCATTTGGATCATTTCAGTCCTGGAGTTGCTGATCTCAACTGAACTAAAGGTAAAAGGAGCTGTTCGCTTGGAAACTACCACTTCATGACATAACAAGGTGGAACAGAGCGTTTTGAGCTTTGGAGACGTGGATGGACTAAAAATAAAGAGTTACTCAAACATGTGTGAATGAAACAAAACACAAGTCCAGCTCTGTTTTTCAGGAGGAACATTAGAACATTAGAACATGACTTAAAGCTCTGGGTGATATCGGACCTTTAAATGCAGGATGTCCCAAAAAATTTGACATCATTTTGCAGGCCAATAATTTTGGCAATTCTTGTTGAAATAACTTCAAATTTTCACAAAATGTTTAGAAACAGATCAAGAATTAATATGTAATGTTTTATTTTTGTTGTGTTTTCAGGTTGAGTCGTTCACTCCCAAACAAAATCATTTTGTGTCTTGAATCTGCTGCTCACACTCATAAAGACTGATGCTTCAACGCAACATTTACAAAAACTTCAGCAACTGGAAAACAAATTTAGACTTGGTACCAAAAATGTAAAGAGGAAGGATCTGGTTACGCCAAACTGTCACTCGAAGAATCTGGGTTTCCAAACTTGTTCTCCTTACGGACTCTTGGGGCTTCACAAGTGTTTTTCATGAATTTGCTCGACCTTCTCTTCTAATGTTGATGTCGGTCCAGATCCTTTAGTCCTGCAGAAGTCGCAGTTGCTGCAGTTGCACTGAATGTTGCATTGAAGCTTCAGTCTTGGGTGAGTGTAAGCAGCAGATTCAAGACACAAATGATTCTGTTTGGGAGTGAACGACTCAACCTGAAAACACAACAAAAATAAAACATTAAATATAAAATCTTGATCTGTTTCTAAACATTCTGTGAAAATTTGAGGTTATTTCAACAAGATTTGCCAAAATGACTGGCCTGTGAAGTAAAGTCAATTTTTTTGGGGAAACCCTGTACTTCTGTGTAGTTTAATCAGCTCTGGTCGTCTTTCTGCACATTCTGCTCAAACATCTCCTTTGGGTTCAGTTTGTTTTGGATTTGCTGGTGGAGAACAGCGCCCCCCACAGGACTCTGAGTGTCTTTGTGCAGACGTACAGACTCAGAGCGACTAACGCCAGCAGGAACGCGGCTACGTCCAGGCAGTAGTACTGGAGCTTGGAGAGTTTGTAGGACTCTGAGACCAGATGTTTGGCTCCTCCGTGTCTCATCACAAACTCGATCCAGAACATGGCTCTGTCCAGAGGTTTGAGCGGCTGGTCTCGGTGCAGAGCCGACAGACGCTTCATGTTCTCTCTGTATTTGGGCTCGTGCAGAACCTCCTTCAGAGCCTCCAGGAACACCTCTCTGTTCACTGTGGAAATATCTAACACTTTGGCCACTCCTCGCACCTGCATCCTGAAGAAGTTGTCATGCTGGTCGAACATGAGCGGCAGCCCCACCAGAGGCACGCCGTGGTGGATGGCCTCCTGGAGACCGTTGGTTCCCCCGTGGGCCACGAAGAGCCGGGTCTGCGGATGGGCGAGGAGGTCTGTCTGCGGGAGCCAGTCCACCAGCAGAGTGTTGTTCCCCACAGTGGAGGGTCTCCTGCCTTTGTGTCTCCAGATGATCTTCTGAGGCAGCTGAGCGAACGCTGCCGCCACCTCCTCGCTGATGTCATGGGGCAGCTCGGCCACGAGCGTCCCCAACGTCATGATGATGACACCATGTTCTCCGGCGCTCTGCACAAACGCCTCCAGCTCCGGGGACAGGGCTTTGGGCTCTTTGCACTGGAACCCCGACATGTAGACCACGTTGGGCATGGTCGGCCGAGGGAACTCGAAGGTGAAGTCGTTCCTCATGAGCCAGATGTCGGCCGACTGGAACAGCTCCATGTAGTGGACCTCAGGCCCGAAGTGTTTGTGCACGAAGGGCTTGTAGTTTGGGTCGATCACGTACCAGATCTGTAAGTGCATGAAGAAGAAGATCAGCATGTTCTGGAGGCGCTGGAGGAAGTTC